GAACCCTTTGAAAACCGCACAGAGTGTGAAGCCAGGTCCCTGGCTCCCAGTGCTTTCCGATCAAGCGCAGCGTCTTGGGGTCAGACGCCCAGAGCCTCACTCCGGCAAAGTTGACTGCTCAAGCGGAAGGAGAGCGCATGGCAAGTGTAAAGCGAGTTGCTTTCAACACCCGTGGTTTACACCCGCTACTCTGTCTGTCTGTCTGCTATTGGTTCGATATCGTACTTTTCCTTGCTTAGGCACTATGCAGAGCCGGTCAGCACAACAACCGTCACAAAAGGCGTGCTTCAGGGAAATTTGCACTGCAGTTTGAGGCCACCCAGGGAATCGCCGTGCCAAATGAATTTCACAGGTTGGTGGTTTGTACCTGTGATTGCAGTCATGGCCGTGGATGCAGTGGTTGCAGCAGGAAGGTGCGTATATTGGAAACATCGCAGAACAAAATGAGACCAGCTGCTTAGAGTACCACAACACCACATGCAACGCTCTGTGATTGATTGCAATTGGTATATCAGCGCGTTCACCCACACTCCTGTTCCTGGGGGCCCGGCTCCAAGAACTTAGGGACAAAGTCCTCTGCAAGAGCAGCTATTCAAAACCATCACATGTTTTGCAAGGCCTTTCTGAGAGTTTACGGCAGCTTGTACGGATTTCATATGGGTCGGTCAGGGGCTTGAACAAACTGAGCTGTCAGGCTACCTGGGAGGCGGGTCGGATCTTGTAAGACACGGGTGTGAACTCGAGAGGGAAACCTCAACGTCGGGGCAAGCTGGTCCGGATAGGCCTTTGGACGTAGAAACTGTTTTCCCAAGCAGGGTAGGTAGGTTCAGAGTTTAGGATTCAGGGCTTCGAGTTTGGAGGGCTTAGAGTCCTGGGTGCAGGGCTTAGAGTTTAGGGTTCAGGGCTTAGAGTTTAGGGTTCAAGATGTGGAGTTTAGGGTATAGGTCGTTTAATGATGTGGGACCCAATGGGCGGGTGTGTCCATTGCTTGATAACGCTGCTCAACAAGTGAATGCTTGGACTTGAGATGCTGAACCCTAAACCCTAAGCCGTAAACCCTAATTCCTAAACCCTATAACCCTAAATCTTAGAGGCTTCGCCCTAATGTGCCAACGCAGAATGGTGTTTTGTCAATACTTACAGTGGCAAATCATTGGATTAACAACACGAGCTTGAAGTAAATTGATCGTTTTTACCCATTTATCTAAACCATGCCAAAAAGAGTTGATTGAACACAAAAAATAAACAGGGATGCTTGTTAAGTAAACTGAACTTATGGACTTTTTGGAAACAATACGGTTTGTAGGCACTTAACAAGGCGACTCCAGCTGAACACCAGGGCGTGTTATTGTATAGTGCGGAGCCTAAAGCCTTCAAAATTACGTCTTACTGTCATTTTAACTTCTTGGGGCCTCTATCTCAGCTCTAAGCAAGGTTTGTATAGTGTAGAGCCGGAAAACGTTTAATCGCGCCTGACTTTCGTTTCAATTTCTTGGAGTGTCTATCTCATTTGAAAAAGAAACCAGGGTTTGTGTCTTACCTGCGTTTCAATGTCTTGGTGCCCCGATCTCTTATTCAAGGTTTGAATTTGGGCATATTTGGGCTAATTAAGCCATAGCCTGGCTTTACTGTATAAACCGATTTATGGCCAGGGGCCTACATGAACACCCTGATAATACCACCGTCTGAGAAGAGACTCATCTACGGATCTACTTCCCTTCTTGTCACGTACGCACCTCGTGAAACTATCACTTTGGTGCTTGTGGAAACCGCGTGTCTGAGAAAGACTCTGAACGGTCAGGACACTTCGACGTCCTGCTTCTTCCCTGCTTTTACAAGTTGCCACCTTGTCCACGCGTGCCCTGCAATTTTCGCGCGAGAAAAATCTGAATCCCCATACCCCTGAACTATGATACTCAAGCAACACGAGCTGCCAGCCTCACTTGCTACATCCGCTGCTGTACCCCCAGGGGGTAACCTAAAGCTGATGCGTCTGCACGAGCTCGGGGAGCTCGAGATGGCTTGACAGCTTGCCAAAAATCACAAGCCAATGACAACAAGGAGTACAATTCCTCTTTACCCTCCCGGAGTCCACGAAGTCCAGCTCCACTCCCTGGATGCCTCACTTGACATTTGGCGTGTTTATAGAGATTCCATGTCCAGCAAGCCCTTAGAGTTTCGTCTTGGAGTGACTACAGAACTTCCTCTCTGCCATTATCAGCCCAGGTGCCGACTGCAAGGCTCACATCCTGCACCACAAGGGAGAGGTTGGGCTGAAATGCAATTCTATCCTGTCTGGGCACCTAGACGCTGATCAGCAGCTTTCGTTTGCTGAGGCAAATTTAATCAACACAAACACCAAGTTGCCAAGCTTTGGGAGAAATCCCAAGGTCCTGAAGCTCTTATCAGAACACCTGCCACAACATGCTGCTCCTGAATGGTGAGCAGATGTTGCAAAGCCCGTCCGGTGGCATGAAAGAGCGAGCAAACCTCTCTCGAGACAGCGTCAGACATGTGATGTTGACGGATTCTTCCGAAGAGATAAGGGCCACCACTTACCACACAGTGCTTGGTGCGAACCGCAAGGAAACCTATACGTCAGCAGCTAGGACATACGGACTAGAAAATTGCGTTCCAAGCCATGCTGGTGGCGGAGATTGCAGAACCAAAACCTGCTCTCAGAGTTCTTGACTTATATGACTTGTGCACAACCCAATCTAGCCTGCATCATGTTAACATGGGCTTACAAATGTATGAAACTCTTCAGCCGGATGCCCCGTCAACTTAATCGCCTGGGCCAAGGTCAGCAGAGTTGGAGACCCTTTTTTGGGCGGTCGGAGCCCTCCCACCTTAGCCGCGGCACAATGGCCTCTTCTGCGTACTAGGATCACTGTGATTGTTCATGCTCAGTGTGTTAGCCGCCTGCCATGCTTTTAACCCAAGATCTGCAGATGAAGGGTTGCCTTGAAATTGTCGGCGAGTTTCCCATTGGCTTTGCAGAGTTGCTGTTCCAGCAGAACCACACAACGAGCCGGCTCCACGTTGGCTGGACAGGGCTGCACGCATCGTGAGAAATCATGTGAACAACAAATGAAACTGTCCGCGAACAGATCTGTGTGTCCGGAGGATCTCACAAAGGATTTGCTGAATATCAGAGTCGTATTGGAGCTCCCTCTACGCCGGATGAGACAAGTATCAAAGCTCATATGACATGACACTTCCTCCTATGCCCTCCCGCCCCTTCGCCGGCTGCTTAAGCAAGCTGCTTGTCTGTTGATGCCGTCGCGACTTCCATTTGCATCACAGACTGCATGGCATGACGCTGTTCGTGAAACGTCGTTCTTTGATAGTTACTTGATGCGGAGCGTGCCGGGATGGTTGCAGACCGCCTGCAAATTTCACCAGGGCAATTTTTAGGTGTACGCCCTCCCCCTTTCCTTGTTCATACACACACAGCATATCGAATCCACCAAATCCCAAAAAGTCTCGGGCTCACTACCTCGAGGATTAAACATGCACAGCTCGAAGAGCCAGTTGCGGGTCAAATTCCATGGTGACCCTTTCTCAAGACATGCCTACGTGTGGTGACATGCCACCTCCTCGCATCGTCATAACGATTGGCGCCCCATCCTGCCCCTTTGTTGCGTTTATCTTCTTCTGCACGTCCCATGACATGTCATGGGATCTGCGCTGTCACTTCTAGGAGAACTCTCATGCTGCTGCTTCATGAAGAAGCTGACAAGTCCGGGCCCTGGCGATGTAGGCAATCGGGCGCCTGGGGACATTGTCTTTGCCCATCAGCGGCGAGTAGCTCACAAGAGAGTCCTCAGAGAAGCCAAGGCTTGATGGAAAAGGCTGGCATTCAGAGATAATGAGATAATGGCAGGCTACGCCCGTGCCGAATGCCAGTGGTGAAGGCTGTTCCCAGAAGCAATGCAAAACAGGCCTGTATACAAGGCACTAAGGAGTCTGTGTTTCGTGTATTGGCCCTGGAATTGGAATAACGGTGTTGCCAGCAAGAAGTTCGTATGAAGGGTCGAAGACTGCCAGAGTTCGTGAAGGCCTGCGAGTCTCAGAGTCATAACGCTAAATGCGACTTGCAACACATCATAGCCAAGCACATCACAAAGTGTCATCCTTTTTGGGAGCTGCCCTCGCCATTCCAAGAAGTGAACTCAGAAGCGGCTGTGTGTGTGTGTGCTCAGCCGAGGTGAATAATGGCAATTCGCTGCAGCTGATAGGGTGCCGAGTTCCATGTACCAAGAGGTCAGAGTGGTGCAGCTTTGCTGCTGAAACTTCTTTCCGCCGGTCCAGGGGAACCTTCACAATGCCAACTATCTGGACTTCATGCTTCATGCTTAATTAAGCCTACTTGTCTGTGCCCACAAACGGTGCAAAGGCTTCCCTCGTCACCTTTTTGTAGGCCCCCGCAAGTAAAGTGCAGAGAAATGTCGCCAATCAACAAGTGGTGACTCGTGAGCTTCACCCTATGGTAAAGATGCACAAGAACACCAAGCCACGCTTTAACTCCTTGGCCCACAGCCAGAAATGTCAGGGGAACGCGGTGGCCGAAAATTTGTGATTCAATATGAAACCTCTGACAAGCTGTGTGCGTCTCAATGAATCCTGTTTGACGAAATAACACGGAAGACACAAGGCTCACAATATCTCACAATGGCTCAGATCAATGACCTTGACGGCCTTGCAGGTCGCGCTCCTGTAGCAGGATGCTTGCGGGTAGCATCTTGATGGAACACCGCACCACATGTTCCAAAACATCGTGTGCAATCTTCGCCTGAACAACCCCTCCACAGGATTTTCGAGGTTTTGCTCATGTCATGCCAAAAGCGAGAACATGCACAGGCTGCCACAAGCTTCTGTTTCATGGTGCCCCTTTGGAGTGGCGAGCCCAGAGATTTCCAAATCATCTTCCCGTCGATCCCCGGCATCCAGCAACATCTAGCACATCAGCACAGTTTTCTCACTTAAATGACGCGCCTTTAGCGCAGCCAGTCCAAGGGGTTCGGCACCTTTGGATGACAAATCTTGATTTCTTCCTGCAGCTGCATATATCAGATCTTCTTGCCTTCCTATTCTAGCGCATTTCAGATGTTTTTATCTCGGCGCTCTCCCAAGCTATCCAAGGAGCGTGAGGAAAATTCAGGTCAGGCAGGTCCGGGACCGGGATCTCCACGGGGAGGCGCGGCAGTCTTGGCATCTCCACACCAAGCATCTGGCAAGGGGAGCCACAACTACGAACTCAAGACAGAGAGAACAAAACACCTCAAAGGAAAATGTTCGGCCTTGAGTCCTCCTTCCTTCTTGGCTGGCTGGCCCGACTGCGCTGGGGCTGCTGTGGTAGTGCTTTTCTTCACAGCCTGGCCAGGGCGCTTGCACAAGATGCATGAGGGGTGTCAGGCATAAGGCTCGTTTGGGCTTATCTGCGGAACCTGGCGCTGAAGGGCTCGAGTCGGCATCTTGGACATTCATGGACATTCAAAAGTCTGGCGCTGCGTGCGTCTGGAGCACGAGGGCTGCACCACGTTGGGTTTTGCGGAAGTAGCTTAATTTGCTATCTTAGCTGGCCGGCTGCATTCATTTCCACGTCTCCCGAATGCTCTGCAGAAGCGGTTGCCGTTTTAATTCTTGGGTTTTAATTCTTGGGGTATGTTGGGGTCCAGGAGGTGACCAACAATCGTTCCATCTGTGTTCGCGAGTGTCTGCGGGAGTGTTGCGACGCGGCTGGACCCACCCAGGCTGGCCATCCTCGCACGCTTTCGTCGCTTTTGCGCCAAAAGTGTCGTCGCGTCGTCGTCGAATGCCAAAAGTGTCAACGGTCACACGGACGTGCCCTTGCGTCGCTTTTTGCCCTCAAGTCCGAAGGAGTGTGTGCAGTGGAGAGGAAGGTGGAGCGGAAAGTGGTGGAGAGCGGTGTGGAGAATGGAGTGGTGGATTCGAGAACGGAGTGTGGCAGGTGGGAAATTGGAATGGACAGTGGTGGAGTGTGGAGTGTGGAGAGTGGAGAGGAAAGTAAGCTGCAAAGCCTAGCAGAAAGTGAGGTGTGCAGTGGAAAGTGGATAGAGAGTGGAAAATGAAGAGTGGAGTGCGGAGTGTGCAGAACGTGCTGAAAATGGAGAGTGGAGAACGGGAGTGGAGAGTGGGGAGTGGAGATGGCGCGTGGCGAGTGGAGATAGAGAGTGGAGCGTCTACATCATGTTTCCTCCGTGTTGTCTCTTGCGTGACGCCCTCAATCTGCGCGAATTACGTGGCATGTGTGTGCATTCGGGTTCGTGGGCTCCCATCAGGCTCGATTTCTTGGGAGTGTTCTCAAGGGAAGTTGCATTGTTTCATAGTGCTGCCGCGTTTACCAGCGTTCTTGTCCATCTCAGTGCAAGCCGTCTCCCGGCCCTCTTAAAATAATCCCTATACCAATTTCTAATTCAAAAATACTTGCTTTGGACCCAAAATTCCGTTGCTCGTATGGACATGTACTGACGCTATCACTCCGCCAAACATTGCAACCACTCATCGCAACTAATCTTTGTGCGTCCTGCATCCTGGTCTCTAAGCGCTTGCAAATAACCTCGTTATGTTTCCGGGCTACAGGATTGGGATACGTTGGGGTGGGTGGACACTGGCTCTGTTTTCTGATTTTGCTACTGCGTGGGCAGCATGCGGGATCTGCTGTTAGCAGGCTCTGCTGTTAGCAGGCCCTGTGAATGCATCATCATTGTACCACAAAGTCTTCATCCTGACCATCAGATAAGGAGAACATAGGAGAACTCACCAGTGCAGCCCACAAGATTTCTAGGTTTGGAAAACCTTGTGTAGAGTTCATATACATCTACGGTCTCAATCAGCCAGTGCCCCTTCGCTTGCAAGCAATGCCGTCTCATCGTTAATTCGCCAGTTTGTGTAAGTCTGCGCCATTCTGCTTCTATGAGAGCGGGCATGGATCTTCACCACGATTTGCGTGGCCCTGTTTTGCTCTCCACCCTCAGCCCTCGTAAAGCCATGGAACATCAACACAGCGGCGGTCCCGTTGCAACTGTGGATCTTCTCAGGACATTTACCCGCTAGAGTCTTTTTGCCGGCGGCCTTGACAGCTTTTTTGGAAGCCATCGGGGGTGGCATCACGACACCGCCAATCACCTGATGCAGTTTGCTTCTGGGTCATGACTGTGAGCCAGACTTTCGGTCCAATCATACCCAGCCCCTCTGTGACAATGCAGAAGCCGAAACTGCCTTTCCGCCAGCAGCAACTGGTGGCTGTTGAGGTGCCATCTGAGGTGCCTGGCTGCAGACACGCACTGAGAGGTTTCGATAGGCTTGGTGCTGTTTGTGGCCCGCTTAGCTTCGCTTCTGGGGTAGCGCATTCGGGAAGATGTCGAGGATCATGCTGCATGCTATGTATACACACACATAAATACAGTTCACCTGTTCCTGGCCACACAGTCAGCGTACAATTCGAATCATGAGGTTGCGGGCCGCTCTCTCCCCCTGCTGCCCCTGCTTCCTGGCCTATATGGCTGATTTCACGCACTCTTCAACCCCAACTTGGAGGCAAAGAAGATTCTCAGGCCTCAGTGCCCGCCGGTTTAACTTCCACCTCCGGTGGGGCCTCAGTTGGCTGGAAGGCCTCGCCAATCCTGAGCCACAGCAGCTCTGAGAGAAGTGTGTTGCCGAGCTGAGGGTCGCTGGCTGCTTGACAGTATTCCAAAGGATCTGACGGTGATGCAACCTAGACAACTTGACGTCAGATAACGATGCCCCGAGTGCCCAGGCCTTAGGCGAGTTCGCGTCGTGAACCTAATTATGAGCGCGCCTAGTGTCAATTTGAGCTCCAGGTCTCCCGACAAACACCAGTAGTTGGAGTCTTGCTTCAGGATCCAGGGAGCCGAGGCTCAGAATCCTGAATCCCAGCATGCCTCAAAGTCTTAGGCCACACTCTGAAGCTTGCCATCAGCTCTACACCTGGAATCGCAGGCTTCCAAAGCTCAGAGCTTTGTCCAGTCTGAACAACTGTCACCCAAGCCAGAACCCTTTGTCAGTCAAAGGTGCAAAAGGCTTGTGTCGGAGCCGAAAACCTCATCAGCAAAGCTCTTGCCGGCTGCAAGCTTCGAAACACCTCGTGAGGTGGGGCAGTTTGGGGGGGGGGGGGTCCACTTGGATGGCCTGGGAACTGGGATGTTGCATGCAAAGGGTTGAATGGCCCGGGATTGGGCTTCTGATGGCTTCTGGCATTCTCTACGTATTGATGCGGATGCTGTCAATGCTATTCCTCGGGCCAGCACCCAGACAACCAACCGCATGAAAGCATGAACGGTGAGCGCCCATGACAGCGCAAGTTCATTGTTATCTATCATCAATGTCTTCCCGAATGAAGAGCATGCGTGGAGAAAGGCTTCTGTCATTCTGTCAGGCATTGTTGTGGCCAGCTTGCGGTTGAAATTAGTAGCCTCCAGTAGGAGCCCGCATGGGTCAAGATGACTTTGGCTGGCTCGGTCTTCCGCAATACCGGCATGTCCTGTAGCACCTTCAAAGGAGACCTAGAGAAACATGTTAGTTTGCATTTAGTTTGCATATGGCTCACAGTCAAGCCTGCCTCGGCCAAGCGTGGTCATGGTCAGGTTGATGGCCTTCTTTGCCACGTCCGGGTCAGTCATGATTGCGTCAAGAGCCTCTTGGCTTCTACGCCAGGCAACGGTTCATTTGTTTGCCAAGGAGTCCCGAGTGAGCCCGTCCATTTCAAATTCTGGTATTCCGAGAGCACAGCATGGCACCTGCTTGTGATCCAAAACTTCTGGGGAAAAAAGGGATTCAGGTGCTGAAACGACCCTGTGCTGTTATGCACGTCTGTTCTCGCCTGCCTTGCCTGCAATGCTGCCGTACAAACTCTCCTGTTGGGGCCGGATTTCCACGCAGCCAAATGCGCCGTCGTCATGATTCGCTTTTCATCTGCCACAGTGCGGCATGCTTTGGTGTACGCTTGGAATGCTCCGACGTCACTTGGTGTCTCCTGGAGTTCTTGAGGACCAGGAGCTCTCGGATGCTGACGAAGGGATGCTGTGTCAGCTCGTTGGATGGCAAGCCTTTGTGCTGACTGTGTTGAGAATAGAATAATGCCAAAATGTGACTTTCACATCTTCCGTTGCGGCTTGCTTGAATTTGGCAAGCTTCGTTTTGTGCGATCTGAATGTCGCCGTGACCAGAATTCTTGCCACTCAATCCCCTTTCCTGACATCTCAATTCATTTGCTGTTTCCCCTGATTGAGGAAGCTCGACTTCCTCCAGCTTATCGTGCTACACTGTAAAGACACCTGCAAAGCCAGCCACTTTCAATAGCAAATCTGCATCCAAAACTTTGGAAATGGCCGGGTAACTATAACTAGACCGGTACGAGCATTCGTGGTGGACGTATTGCGTGCGGCAACCCCACGAGCACGATCCTGAAGATGGACTTTCATACATGCTGTTCAAAACAGAATTCTGCAGGAAGCCATGGGATGCGATACTCATCAGATGCTACGACGCTCTCCAGTGCCAGAGTTGCATGCTGGAGCTGCGGGGCCTTCTCTGTGGGCCTGCCCTGCGGCAACTCTACAGAGTCTGTGTCGAAGACCAGGTCCGCGAGCTCCTTGCCACTGGAGAGGCGCCTCAGGAGCCAAATCCCTGAGGCTGTAACATCTCTTTGTTCTCGCTGGAATATACTACTCCAGAGATCTGCGGAGCATCTGGTTGACCCATGAAACGACAAGCCCCAAACCAAAGTGTTCAAGGCATGCTGACTGCCACAAGCCGCACCGCTGTCTCGAAGGCTGACTGAACTGACATTTCTGCAATCGTGAAATCACTTCATCAACTCTCATGCGTGCAATCACATGGAAGGAATGCACCACTCCGCGCCCAGGCACGCAGTCACGGTGGCCAGCAGCTGGCGGTCGTGAGACAAGACTTGTGCAACCTGTCAGACTCCGGGAGGCGGGGCTTCGAACGGTAGCAATAGTACTTCATCGTTGCTTGTTTTCATTCCTTTCAAGGCAATTGAGAGAAACGACCATGCCCTCTACTCTTCACCCTTTCAATTCTAAAGCTGGTGTGACGTCGGCTTAGATTGTCTTCTCACAACTTGCAGTTGCAGCCATCAGCTCCATCGAACTTGCGTCAACTTTTTAAAAGACTGCAGATAGAGGCTCTCCTGATCTAAAGGCTGCATAGGTCAAGTTCAGCATGTTGTCCTTCAGATGGCTCATATCTGATAGTATGTTGCCGATCCTGGCCACGTGAAATAGTGGAGTTGGAGATTTTGCTGCGCAAGATGATCTGAAAGCACGTTCACATGACTTTGCATCTTGAACTGTGGTTTTGTGGCCGTGGAGGCGGCTGACCTGAAGCCATGTTGCAAGGTACATGTTCGACCCAGGCACTTCAGGTTCTGACGAAGAAACTGCGGGGCGAAAAAGATGCCTGCTCACATCTCATCCTGCCTCATCGGGACCCAATGCTAGGACGTCCTCTGTGCTCAGGATCGCCTCCTGGCATGTCACCGCATCTTGAGCGAACAAGAACTTCCACCTGGGGTTGCATGAAAATCCCAATCCTTTCTGCTTGACAGAATGTTCTTGTCGGGATATTTCCTAGTAAGTTTGTCTAAGTGTCGGAACTTTTCGTTGTCATTTTCATTGTGTTCTTTTCCCTGTTATCGTTTTCGAACTGAAACCCACATTTTGCGCTTCGCGGTGCTCCGGGACATAATCCTTTGGCGCAGGGTTATTCTACCCCCCATCTGGTTTGGGGCTACTTGTAGTCAGGCATGCATTTTGAACGGTTAATTGCTAGCAAACTTGGAACGCCCACCCCCGACAAAAAAGCAGTGTAAAGAGGGTTCATACAAAGTTCTCGGCCCCTCTGATCGAGCCAGGAGAAATGAAGGAACGCACCTGTTGCTTAAAATTACAGAGTACGAGTGCTTATCAAAAACTAAAAGATGTTCAGAAAATTCTATGTCATATCTTCTCAAGCAGCCAAGTCTTTAGTAAACACCGACAAAGATTTTGAACAACTGCGAATTCAAAGGCACCTCAATGAAAAATCTGCGCATTACCCAAAAACCTTGCGCGATCTTTCAAAATCTCAGGTTAGGGCTTGGGGGGTGTAAGTTGGCTTAGGAGCTGATTTCAGGCACCAATGCCCTCTACCAGAAGAACCTCTTTAAAGCTCTCGTTCGCTTGCGGATACCATGTGGAATCATGCTGCTGCTTCGGCTAACTACGTACATCCAACTCAAAGGCAAGTGATATGATTCTGTATGCGAAATCAAAAGAATGTGTCATAAAATCTGTGTGGGCCAGAGACCCTTTCTTCGCGGCCCCTTGTTTCAAATTCCTTTGTCGCGGGGTCTGTCGAATGATAGCTCTCTGTTTAAATCCTCTGTGGTGGGAAGGCCGCCCAAGGCCTCTTAGGAACTCAAAGTTTTTTTTGCCGCTCCCATATCCGTATCGACATCCTCGCGCAGCCCGTCAAATGCTGGAGCCTCTGCGTTGTGCGGGTGGATAGGCTTCCTCAGCTTCACTCAGCTGCTCTCACGTCCACATCGCCCGCTTGAGTTTTAGCATTTGCTGCATGATTTGCTGAGTGCTGCGCTGTAAACAGTAAAACAAGAGAGCTTCAGCACCATGAGCAAAACACGCGCTTGCACCACATCAAGGTTCGTTTGCCACATGCCCTGTCCAGGGAACAGTTGTCAGTATGTCTACGCACATCTAGGCGGCCTGCAGCGGTCTGCCAAGGATGTGCAACCACCAAAGTGAAGGGCGGCTTGCACAATTTGACAGTGGTTGCGAAAACTCTGTAGCTGTCGCTAGCTCAAAGCTGAGAGTTCATGACAACTCAACAATATTGCAAAATCATCCGAAATTACCTACTACTTTGGCCATCAACCGCTCAGTACGTAGGCAGGCCCACAATCCCCTCCTCAAGACCTCAGAATAAACGCAATAGCGAACTATCAGACTTACCCTTTGCCGCAGTCGGTGATCCGTACGCACTGCAGACAAAGGGCTGCGAAACCCGCTCCGCCGCACCTTTCTCACCATGCCTGCAGTTTGCTGCGACGAGATCGAGCTTCAAGATATGTCATAGTACGTTGCGGCTGATCTGAGAAGTCGGCCTTCAGGACCGGCCTCTTGTGATTTCAGACAACACCTTGTCAGTTTACTTTGGTGTGTTGCCCCGCCAGCGAATTGCGCGAGAGAACAAGACGGCTGACTTGTCCAGACCACCACATCAAAATTATCTACTTCGAGCATCCCCACCCTAGGGACGTTATTGCACGAGAAATGTAATGTTCCCATGCGCCCCCAAATTGTCTTCTTTGCAGCACTGCAGCTGCGCTGCAAAACTATTGAAGTTTTGGCACTGCAGGGGCAAATGCTGTGGGGTTCG